GTGGATGATTACTGCATGAAAAACTACCCAAAGTGTCTTAAAATAATGAACAATCACACACACACACACAAATGTGTCTGCCATGGTTTGTGTAATTTGAGTTACCAAATTATAGTTATATATACAAGGTGGACATAAAGTTTGTGTGCAATTTACTATGTTAAACTATTTTAAATCACACATGAACTTTATGTCCACCCTGTGTGTGTGTGTGTATAAATGTATACGTGATTCTACAATTTGGGCTGGTCTCCCCTGAGGTTACTCAAGTGGCTAAAGTCATCTGCAAGTGTATCCAGAGCTGGATGGTCCCAGATACCTCATCCCCTTGTACGGCAGTCAGCTAGGGCTGTCGGGGGAGGGGCTTCATTCTCCTCTGTGAGCTCTGCCCACACGGGTAGCTTGGACTTTGACACACAGCACCTAAAGTCCTATAGGACAGACCTTCATCAAGCCCCTGTTTGTATCACACTTGCTGACATCATATTTGTCAAAGCAAGTTGGAAATCATGATGGCATTAAGCCCAGAGTCAATGTGGGAGGGGTCTGGATCCTGGCAGGTGTGTCTCATTGGGGCCACTAATGTAATCTCTGCCGCAGAGTGACAAGCATATGGTTCCACGTTCTCCTCATTCTGAGGCTTACCCTTCACCCTGCTCCATTCCTGCCTCCCATACTTCCTTTGCCTTCCTCCTTACCCTGCCTCCTCATTATTTCAGACTCCATAGGTAAACCACTAAGAGTAGGGAAGATGTAAGAAATGGAAAAAAGATATCCTCTTCACCCTCAGGTCACTAATAAACTGAGCAGATAAAGGTCCGGGAAGAAAAATATTAAATAATAAATCAAGGCAGCTGCTCAGCTCCCAAATAAATGTCCCAAATGGTGCAGGAAATTCCTCCAGGAGTTCAAAAATGGTCAGGGTCATCATGGTTCTTTAGCAGATCTGCTCACCTTATTCTGAAGAGTGTAATCTGAGTTCTTAAATTATATTGACCTTCATGGAGAAACAAGAGCCATGTCAAAGCCAAGAATTCAGTAAAAAGCTGTATTCATCTGCATGTTGCACTACCAGAACTCAGAGCTCAACATGGCATCTCTTCCCTTTTCTCTGCACTGATGCAAACACAGGATTGTGGGTTGTGTTGGGCCATTTCCTTGGAGTTTCCCGGGAAAACAGCCCATTCTTAGAGCTTGTGGTTTGGATGGACCAATCCACCCTTTATGACACAAGACTGGCAAAATAAAGAATTTCATCTTTTGACCACAATGTTGGTGGAGAGATGGTTGTGGAAACCAACTAGGTCCAATGAGACTGAATCTTGGAAATTATAGATACTATTGGGAAAGGTGCCCAGAGCTGCTGGTAGATATCTTACACCAGCAGGGGCAGCAAAGTGAAGAGAAGAGAGGCAGGAGTTCCTGATGACACCATTGGTTTTGAAAAGCAATGCTCACAACTACCTGCATTTCACATTTCATTCCTGTACAGTTCACCAATCTTCAAGCAATTAACATTTCTCCAGATATACACTATTCACACAACAATACAAGCCCTATTTTTTAATCATAGTTCTGGATAATGCTCAGTCTAATTCAATTAAGTCTAAAGACTTTCCCAACTTAGTTCACTAAGCTCTAACTTTTCTTTCCTATTGATAGTCCCATGAGAGGCCTTCCCGGACCACCTAGTCTGCAGAAAAGCTCATCATCATGTTACACAGTTGTAATTTCTCCATCAAACACATAATACCAAAAATAATCCTTTTCATGTAGTTATGTACCTACTGTCTTACCCCTGATTTTACATTGTAATTTCCAAGAAATGAAGACCTTGTCTGATTCACAATTGTGTCCCCCAGAGTCTAGATCTCAGTCAGCATCTATTAGATGAATGGATGGTTTCCCATCTAGTCATGGTGACCATTGAACTTGAGAAGCATCATGAAGGCCTAGAAGATCAACTTTCTTTTGGTTGCCATAGTTTTCACAACAGCAACAATGAACTTGTTTAAAGCAAAGCTACTTTCCACTTCTCTATTTCTTCTCTATTTTTACAATGCAAACTAAGATACCCAAGGTCACCTGCACAGTATATAGTACTATAACCAAGCTAAAATGCAGGGCTTGTAATACTATGCGCAATAATGAAAACCTGTAAGTAACCCACACGTCCACACGTCCTATAGCTGGTGAATGGATAAACAAACTCTGACACTGGCATACAAAGCAATGCTTCTTTGCAATTGAAAAGAAAGAACTATGGATATGTACAACTGCATGAATGACGCTCAAAAACATTCTGCTGCATGAAGTCAAATGTAAAAGACCACAGACAGTAAGATCCTATTTACATGAAATTCTAGAAAAAATTGTAGTGACAAAAAGGAAAGGGTAGTTGCCTATGGTCAGGGTTGGGGAAGAGATTAAGTATGAAAGTGTTTAAGGAAGCTTTGGGGGGAGAACTGTCTGTCTTCTATCTTTTTTGTAACTGTATGTTCGTATTTAAGGCATAAAACACAATAGCAAGTCAGGCAACGGTGAGATAATCTGACTACCAGTTGCTCTCCTTTTGCCTGGGAGAGTCCTTTCTAGTTCACAACTAGGTCATTTATTTTCCCTATAAAGCCATCTGACTTTGTGGTCTTCAAATTAAACTAGTGTAGCAAAGAAAAAAAAATAGAAACTCTCATACCTTACACAGAGCTGTATTTGTGTTTAAGGCATTGATCTATACATCTTAATCGTTCCTACAATTACACAAATTAACCTATCCATCTCCTCAGTGGTTATTGTGCATGTGTGTGGTGGTAGAAGGGAATCTCTCTTGGGGAATTTTAGTATGCAATACAATTGATTGTGGTGGTGTTCCCACAATTGTGTACAATTACCAAAATGCATCAAAGCATATGCTTAAGATTGATGAATTTTATCATACGTGAGCGATATCCCAAACAGCAAAAAAGAGGGAAAAGTTCAAGACTGGTTTAAAAATGCACGTTTCTTTGCAGACTTTAAAAGTTACTCGGTGTGTAAAGACAAAAGAGTAGTTGATTGTTTACTTGACCAGGATACGTGTCCACAGCACAGGCAAGATTTAAGATGCACTTTTGTTTGCTGTCATGTATCAGTGGCCCGTGGAATCAAATGGGAAGAAAGGATCCCTTTCTCTCCTGCTGTCCTGACTCCACTGAGAAGCCTCATGATCCCAGGGCCAGGCTGGTGCTGATGTGGCTGAACTGATGGTTTACGGCTGGCATTTGTTTGGGCAGGTGGCCACTCCAACTTGTCAGTCCCCACATTCTGCTGGTGGGTGAATATTTTGAAAATCTTTACTGCATGTGACAGCAACTGTAAAACTATTTAAATTTCTGAAGCACGTGCACACACACACACATACATACACACCCCTTCTTTAAAGCCAGCAGCTGTGTCCTGGAAAGAGAAAGAATCTGAGAATCAGGCGTCCCATCACTTATTCCAGGCAATACCAAACTTTTTCCTACAGGACTTCAGAGAGTAGATTTTTCATCCCCTCTCTGTTTTCCTGTCTGTAAACAGGCATTCATCATTCCTGCTCCCTGTAGGTCTCATGTAATTTTGCTATAACCATTTCAAAGTTGGGGGAGGGGAGGATGTTACTGGGCTTGTGCTCAGATCATTCAGGGGGGCGGCTGCTCCCAGAGCTAGGAGTCAGGATGTCAAGGTTGAGTCTGTGGATAGTCATTTGTCATCAGAACAGAAGGTGGGATCACAGGTGTGGGGTGACAATTTAAGATGCTTCAGAGACTGGGTGAATGGACCTCCTGTCACAATATTTCATGGCCTCCAGCCTCTGTGTTGATAGATGATGGTGATGTGAAGAGATCCTATTTGTCACCCTGTTTTTGCTGTTTGTTTTTATAACAAGTTCAAAGACTTAAAAAGTTCTAACCTGTTTTTTTGCAATATTTTCCTTCTCCTAAATCCCCAAAATAAATATCATGAGGTTTGCAAATGCAGAGGTTGTAAATTGAAGGTCACTGGGTCACATCTCACCAATACACATATGGTGTTTGGCCATAAAGGTTTTGGATAGTGGCCGATACTTGAAAACCTGATATTGTTACATTAAAATTTACATTAAAATGGGATTTATAGCTTCTCTTAGAAAATGGAGTATCTGGCAGCACTGAGCCCTTTTTATACAAGGCAATGGTGAGATGATCTAACAGTTGCCCTCCTTTCCCTGGGAGAGTGTTTCTAGTTCACATCTGGCTCATTTATTTATGTTATTTGCCCTGTATAGCCATTTGAGTTTGTGATCTTCAAATTAAGCTTGAATTTTAGAAACAAAATTTGGAAACTCTCATTCCTTAAACAGATGGAGCTGTATTTGTGTTAAATGCTCAGTTGGGATCACAGGTGACTGAAAATAACAGAATATCTAAGGATAGCAACATAAACATATCCAAGTCTTATTTGTAACTCAAAAGAATCCAGGATTGCTGTGGATCCTCACTAACACTGACGGGGAGCTAGCCTCTTTCTTTCTTTCTCTCTGCATTTTTAGCTGGTTGGTTTTGTTGCTCATGTCTGTTGCCTCATGGTTGCAAGATAGCTGCCATGCCTCCAACCACAGATCTATATTCCAAACAGGAAAAATGAACTATATCAGAAAAAAAATTTTTTCAGAAAACATAAGCTTATTTCCCAGTCCAGAAGGTACCTCATAGCCACTATCACCTTCAAGGAAGCATGGAAAAGTAGAAACATTGCAGCACTGAATATCAGGTTCAAGGAAGAGTGAATAAAACACAACTTTTTTCAGTCACTAGGATCTGTATTCAAGTTCTAACTTAATCACCTACTACTAGCATTTCCTTGGACAAGTGGCATAGCTTTCCTAGCCCTCGGTTTCTCACTTGGTAAGTAGGAGTAATAATAGTACATGTTGTGTAAGATTTTCATGGGATTTATTGTGTTACTATGAGGTAATTATCATAGTACCTGGCATACAGTTGGCAATCATAAAAGGTGATGATGATGGTGGTGATGGTGATGATAGTGATGATGGTGATGATGGTGGCAGTGATGAAGTTGATGATAATAATGGTGTTGATAGTGATGATAATGGTGATGATGGTGATGATGATAATGGTGATGAAGGTGATGATAATGATGGTGTTGATAGTGATGATAATGGTGATGATGGTGATGATAATGATGGTGTTGATAGTGATGATAATGGTGATGATGGTGATGATGATGGTGATGAAGGTGATGATAATGATGGTGTTGATAGTGATGATGATGGTGATGAAGGTGATGATAATGATGGTGTTGATAGTGATAATGATGGTGATGATGGTGATGATAATGGTGATGAAGGTGATGATGATGATGGTGTTGATAGTGATGATAATGGTGATGATGGTGATGATAATGGTGATGAAGGTGATGATAATGATGGTGTTGATAGTGATGATAATGGT